CCTCAAAATTTTATTAACTGCATCTTTCTGGAGTGCATTCTATCAAAGTATGACTTAATTGCCAATGTTCATATGTTTGGTACTGTTTCATGTTCAAATACGTAAATAAATTGCTAGTCAACATTCTATGAACTTCACCCCGCCATTATTGTATATTCAGCTATTAATGTCTAGGTGTCCCTTTTCTCCTAGAAGCTTCGGTGATGTAAAACAAAAGTTGCAATTATTAAATATTATTAATATATGACAGAAAGGGATAACTTGGAAAAAGAGTCACACTGAAAAAGCAGGATGTTGTGTACAGTTCCTATGACATTCCCAAACAATATAATAACTTACCAAAGCCATTAACATGATGCCTGTTGATTATACACAGTCATAGAAATACTGTCACACTCTTTAATCAGTTAAAAGGCTGGAAATGGCTGATTTGGAAAATATATCATTAGCAAAGCTTATATGTTTGGTATTTTGAAAGAAATGTACTTTCTACATTAGCGGCAGCTTTGAGTCGGGCACACTAGTGAGATTTTATTTGATTTAGTCAAAACATCCAGCTGGAACAAACAGCTGGAGAAAGCAGGAGAAAATGAGGGAGGTGATGATCAAGTTTGCTTTGACTGTGGCCTTCCTCCACACCAGGTCTGGGACAGCTAGATAGGGTCACCAAAGCGCTCAGTGGCAGAGAGTACCTTTTATAGAAGAAAGGAAATTATTTCAAGGAACTCAGAGTCAGCTAGACGCTGCTGCTTGTACACCATTGTCTACGGCCAAGCTAGTGTCCCATCTACAAACCACAAAAGACATGTAAGGGACAAATAGTCATCCATGAATCCCTCCCCCTCTGTTTGCCTTTTTTCTGTGGAAAAATTAAACTCATTTTCTGTGTTCACCTCTGTAGCTACAACCTGAGACCTACCAAGGGAGATATGATCACTCTGCAGCTGGTAGCTGTCACTAGAGCCAAATTTTGTACATTTGCTTTAGCTTAAAATAAGGTTGGCAGAACTGGTTTCTGTTTTGAGACTGTTGGTGGATATACATATATAGTAAGAAAAAAAAAATCTGTACTGTTCCTGTAAATAAAGCCCTTCAGAAGGGAACATCTAGCTCAGGTAGTTTTTCCAACAGAGGAAAGTTTCTCCCCTTTTTCCAAACGCAAGTGGAAGTAATCCCAGCTCAGCTGCAGCTGTGCAGATAAAAAGGGTCTGGAGAGGGGAGTGAGGAGTCAGGAGGCCCTACAGCACAAATGCCTACAGAGTTAGCTTGGACCATTAGGTTGGGTGTCCTAGACCCTTCAGGTTTTGGGAGGTAGATCCTATTAAATCTCTGCAACTGTGAAATGGGGAAGAGTAATCTTTATCAAAAGATAGCACATTTTTAAAGTACGGTTTGAGACACAAGTCTATGAGATAGATAAAGGTACTGGAGCACAGCTTAAACTTAGGAAAGAGCTGCTGTAAATGAGATCTTTTCATTCTGTTCTTAGACATTTGTGAAGTTCTCTTAAAAGGTCCTTTAGTTTGCTTTGCTCTGGACTCAGGGAACCTGGATGCAGATGTTAAATAAGGAATATATCTTCCAAAGGTAAGAGTTGTCCTGTAAAATATGAATGTCTTATTCTCAGCTGCAGTCTGCAAAGCATACTGACGGAGCTTTGAGAGCAGTGTAAATTAAATGTAATTAAGCCAAATATGTTCATTTGCACAATAATTATTCACATGGCTATAATACAAAACCTGGAATTTGGTCAACAAAAGGATGAGAAAACAAGTGGTTCACTTCTTGAGTTATCATTTCTAAATATAAAATATATAATCTTCATGACTGCAGATGGCAACATGGACCAAGTTTTACTTTCAGTGCTTCATCCTGCATATCTTGTATTTCACTAGAACAGCAAAACAGCTGACAATCTAGTCAGTATTTTCAACCGAAAATTTGTTTTGCTTAATAAGCAATTCTTAGGTATAAAATCAGCATTGAAATACCTATTATCTTGTGGGTCTTCATTTTGATGCATGACATAAAGCATGCTTGAAATTATTCTTAATTAAACCAAGGAAAATTGCCACAACAGGAAAGAGCAGAAGTATACCTGAGATCCGGACTACTCACTACTTGAAAAAACCATGGTAACAGGTGGAGTTTGTATGCACCTATCTGTCCCATATAGAGTAAAACTTTTCTCCTTCATCTATTTGAAACTTATCAGTTATAACATTGAGTGTTAAGTCAGAGTTTGATGTACAGAGGTAAATCACAGAGGTAAATCACAGAACATTCTGAGTTGGAAGGGACTCACAAGGATCATTGAGTCCAACCCTTAGCAATATTTGTTAACCTCCAAGGGAGTAGCTGCAGCCTGAGAATCAATAAACCTTTTTCTTCAAGCTGAAAAGGAATTCTAATTTTTTTCTACAGTAGCAGATTTACAGCTTAGTGTATATTTGTTTTTAATATTGACACTCACCATGGTGATGCATGCAACTATGGTTTGTTTACTTCTATGAATTTCCTTCTACGTAGCACCTGATGTGAACAACAGAAAAAGAGTAAAAGGTGCTAGAACTTTACTTGCAACTTATTTGAAAGTGCCTAATAATTACAGCTATTTAATTCTGAGCCCTGATCACTGAATTTGATTTCAAACACTTTGTAATAGAAACATGAGATGACTCTTCTCGATAGCATAATAGCAATTACTGGAGTTTAGTGAAATTACTGTAGTTTAATGTATTCTGTTAGATTGTGGTATGGTGGCACGATGTTTGTTGAATGTTTGGGGGGGTGTCCCCCACAGATCTAACAACTAAGTCGCTATAGCTCAGATACACTTCAGACTGAATTTCAATTTTAAAATTGCTGTAAGTAGAAATACAAGTACTGACCAACCTAATGAAGTCAAATATCTTCTCAAAGTTGTTTGAAACATAGATGCAATTCTTATTTCTTTTCCATGTATGGACTTAGAATATAAAGCCTATTACTTTCTTGAAAAGAGAGTTCTAAAACACCAACATGCCATAGCTTTTTACTTTTTAGTGAGAAGTATTTATTGCCTTTCTAATACACAGACAAGCTTCTTCTAGAAACAAGCAAAATTGCATTCAAGTAGGGTGAGCTAAAACTATTGTTCAAAATATAGTCTCTCCTCCTTTTTCTGCTCTGTATTCCACAGTTCAGCAATGAGTGTATTTGTAACTCTAGCTTCTTGGTTTAAATGTAATTATACTGAGAGAACGAGCTGAAAACTGCTGCTGCTTTTTTATGTGTTATTATGAAAGTATAAAAAATTTAGAAGAAGGAAGGTCTCAGTAGATTTTCCATAGAGAGAGTGTTTGTGTACAGCAAAATTAATTTTAATGAGTATCCTTGCTAAATAAAGGTCCTTGAAAAAGAGGAAGGTTGAAAAGTGACAACTCCCACTGGGGCAGAGCTACAGAAAATAAATGTGAGTGGTATGTACCACATTTGGAGGTTTTCCCTGTTTACCCTAAGGTAGAAAATCTTGAACTTTTGTAGTGGCTCAGACTGCTTTTTGAAGAAGCAGCTTGCTTGATCTATTATATTATCAGGTAAAAATGATCTATTCCAAACACACGTATGGTTCCTACACATAGTTGTGACTAGATCAGAAGCAGAAAGCCACAGTGGAAAGCATGCAAGAAAGAAAATCCTTTCTTTAGAACATAAGGTCTGTCTCATCCTGTAAAAAGAGGTAAAGCTTTTATTTTACTTTTCCTTGAAAATATATTTTGCTTATTCTTCACTTTCTTGGTTCAATTTCTTCCCCTATTTTCTCACCTTGGAAGCACTTTTCAGCTCAGGCATTAGCCCTCAAGTATTTAGGAGTTAGCTTAACTTTTAAACAGTTGTTTGAGACAAGTGTGATTTTTACTTGATATGCTCAAAAGTTAGTTCTCGCCCTATAAAGAAGCATTTTATAGGTCCCTAGTCCATCTGATCCATTTTTGCATCTACATTGCCTATTACTGGTATTGGTACAGTAGATGTCAATGTACTTCTTGGGGCTTCCATAGACTCGAACATTGTTTTATCCCACTCTTTTACATATCTTTTATATATATATTATATATATCTCATATATATAATATATCTTTTATAGTAGAAATCAAGAGACTGGCAGTTCATAATATCTATTTTATAGACAACTTTACCATAGCAACAATCTGGACTTTGATTTTGACTATAATATAGATTTTTCCCATTCTCCAAATTCAGTGTTTGGTGCATGTGTTCATGCATGCACATATTTCCTTAGTCTGAGAGGCTCTTTTCCTCAGGCACCTGACATAGATGCTGACAGGTTACCAGGGTCCCTGACAATTGTCATCCTGACAAACTGTTGAATCTAACAAGCTTTTTTGTTAAAATATATATATATATATATAAAAGTCTGAAACTCTTTGAGGCCACATAAAATTTAGCTTCTCATCTCGAGTTCATCTTTACTCACCAACTCATTTTGAAATATATTTTGCTGTGTTGCTGAGTGTTAGCCTTCACATGATAAAAAAGATTTTAACCGTGTGACTGTACATGTGATGGTGCATACCATGATCTACGGGTGACAGTAAAATCAAGGGTGGGGTAGGAAGGTCTTAATGTATTCAAAGAAGAAAATCTGTGAAAAAAACTTTTTCTCATAAAGAATATGTTTCTGAACACCCTTGTTTGCTCTTTCAGATTGTTTTCCTTAGCATTACTCACGAAGAGTGGTTTAACGTGCAAAAATAGTGACATGCTGGTCTTGGAAATAAGTTACGTCATGCATTTTTCTGTATTTCAGTGAGTGACTGGCTTGCTGCAAAGGGACTGTATTTATAAATTTTACTTCCTCTTAGTTGAAAAACCTCTAGTTTTTATCTAAACTATAGCAAATATTTGGTTTCAAACAGATTTGACTAAATAAAACTGTACTTATCAGACATCTCACAGCATTGCAACTTCAGAAAATAAAAGAGGGGGGAAAAATTGGACTACTGGTGACAATTCTTGGGACCTGGCTGTGTTTTGTGCAGCAGCAGCAGCCGCCTTCCTTGGAGCAGACCCATGTCCGTGCATACAGCACAGACTTTGCCTGCTGCAGAACAGACCCCATCCTGTAAAGGCAGAGCCTGAGGAGCCAATGTGATCCTGGAAATCTTCATGTGCATGTGTGCCAGAGAAGGGGGAGAGAGAGAGAGACCTAGTGTGAAGGAGAGTAGGGGAGGAAGGCAGGCAGGGAGAGAAGGGAGCTTGCTTCACGCACTGCTGAAGGCTGTCAGAAGCAGACCATACAAGCAACAGTCTGGCTGGTGCACAGTTTAAGGGACAACAATCACTGACTTTATTCATTGAATTGCTGAAGGACAGATATGACATCCAGCTGCTGCTTCTATGTGTTCTTGCTTATTGGTACCAGAGGTAAGTGTACCTGACATTCTTTCTTGTTTTGAGCATTGCAAAGCAGATAGCTGATAAACTTCAGCAGTGGATTTTTTTAAAGAACTATGATATCTCAGTGTATTTTACGTTTCATGGCAATTATTTTTCAATAGAATCAAACTGTAATGCAGTCCCTCAAGATTACTGGCTGCATGTCGGGATCAGATATTTTTGTATTTAATGCCTTGAGAGTAACTATTAATAGTTACGAGCTGAAATTAAAAAATAAGAAACAGTTTAAACATTGTGTAAATACTTGCTGTAAATATTTAATGAAGGTACATATAGAACTGACTGATCTCAGTTGTCACAAAATCCACATTTTAGACTCAGTTCGGCAGTTTGAGACGATACTGTGCAAGTGCTACTAGAATTGGTAGTTCTCAAAGGGCAGACTGTGTTCAGGTAATAGGAATTTTCAGCATGTTAGGCAGTACAGCATGTAAAATGGAGACAACTAAATTTCGGTTTCCCTTCAGGTGCAAATCACTTCAGAGTGGTGGGAGTTACACCATACATTCTGCTTACTTTAGTAATGTTTTTCTCATTTCATTTGAGTACCTTATTTGTAAATGCTGCTTTTGACTTGATAGAGCTGTGCCTGTGAAGCTGCTGATACTGATCTGTATGTTGAATGCTCCTAATGGTTATCATTTTCTTTAGCTGTACTTATTATGTTATAAATTGCTTTCTGTCGCACAATGTCAATATTAAGATAGTGGTTTTTTAATTGAAGACGAAAATAGCTACGCTTTACAATATCAACTGTTTTGTTAAACTAATAGAAGCATAGGGTTGAATTCTGCCACCTTCTGTATTGAATAACAGCTTGCTCTCTCTCCTGCTTTTAAATTAAAGCTTTTGGGGATTGTGTGTATACAGTGCTGCTTACGATTAGTAAGGCATATTGCTCCCCATTAGGAGTTTGGGAAACAGAGCTCCACATACAGTTATTTTTATAGCTGCAAAACTTAGTTAAATCTTTTGAAAAACTTTAAGCAGTTCCCATGTGAAATACAGTATTCCATGTAGGGGGTTTCTTTGAAAACAAAGCAGCGCCTATACCATGCTCTTCGTCAGCACAACAGCCTTGATTACAACATGGAGAAAAGTAAATTTCAGAATCTAGTCGTGGAACTGGTAGCACTGAATAAGTAGCAAGGATGACTGTCTGCCCGGGGGGCTCACCCCCCTCGTGAAGGTAGCAGGTCACTTCAGGTGTGTGGCTGGCATTGCCCTGCCTGCTGCCGCATGTCTTCTCTTAGTAAACTAATCGGCTGTAATTACTGCAGCAACTGTAGTGCATGGTTGTGCCTTTAGCATTTCTTTGATTAGCTTTCTGGAGACAAAAGCTGTTTTATCTTCCTGGGCTTTGGCTAAGTGACAGAATCTCAAACAATTCATTTATCAATCATTAAGCAAAACAGAAGAAACTTAGTATCGAAAAGTATTCAAAGTGAGTTCCAAAAGGGATTTGGCAGGCTCCTTGTGAAAAACAATCACAACTCTTACTATTTTAACCCTTTCTGTTCTGTGTCTCTACGTGATGTTTTTCAATCCTACTGCTTGCACCTGCAGTTCCCTTAGCCTCTTCTTTATCATATGTTATTTTTCCTTCCCTTCCCCTCACTTTAAAATGCCTAGGAAAACTTTCTTAAAAACATCTGAACCTTGTTAGTCGTTTCGGTGCTTCATGAGGGTGACAGCTGTTTTCAAGGCCAAGATGTTTTACAGCAAATGCTTTATGTCAAATGTGGGAAAGAGACTATTCTAAACTATTTGGAAAAGTGCAAGTTTATGATTGTGCAGGAAAGTGCTCCTGTTTACATAGTTTGTAACATAATTTAAGATCCCTTCCAGATTTCTAAATAGAAAAGTGAAATTACTTCAGCCTTTGCACAAGCTCAAATAACCATTATGTAATAATAATGTTTGGTTATTTCTTTCACTTAACTTGGGCATTAATCTGACTAGCTACATTTTTACATGTATCACAAAAATTAGTATCTTTACAGAAAATCAGGGATGAAGACTAGATTTGCTGAGGAAAATTCACTCTAATGTCAGTTAGAGGGTAGGTAAAAGTCTACACAATGTTAAACTAAAGTTTTGAAAGTTTGATCCTGCAACTGCTGCTTGGGCAAGGATGTTTTCTCCTCTCCGTTAACAGCACCAGGGTCTACCTAAGTTGAAAACCTGTCTTGACTGTTTATAGCAACTCTACCAGACTTGAACCTATTGCTCTGAAATTTTATGTGCAATGTGGATCTTTTACACCTTGAACAAGAAGACAAGCAAAACTTTATCAAAATAATTTCATTTTTCCAGAATGTGAGGAATTGTTACTTTGCCTATGTTGAACGATTCGGGGAATCTTGTACTAAGCAATGCCTTTTCTCAAACAAATAAGAACTTTTGAAGTATTCCTCTACAAAATCACTGTGCCTGCGAGACAGCCTTCTGACAGGACATCCCACTAGAACTGATGAGGCTGTTCAAGCCTAGTTGCGGTAAAGTAAAAAATAACCTCTTCTAATAGATGTTACTGGATGCTAGAGATCAGTGTGACACTCATCAGAGAAAGTGCCATCAGTCATCTCAGCAAGGGTTTTCTGTTGGTGCCAAGTGTCCTAGACTTTGAAGCCATCAAATCAGACTTTGAAATGGCTGATTCCAGGTGGGGAGGCGCAGGAAGCTGAGAGGATCAGGGAGTCATACTGGTTGTGTCTAAAAGACAGAGGTGAAAATGTATTCGGAAGGACTGAATAAGGAAAATAAAAGAGACACCAAAGGGATGGGCAGATGGGGCAATGGAGCAGAGAGATGAGGGAAAAGGCTAAAGATACTTAGAAGGGAAAATGGAAATCAGAAAGACTATTAGTCAGGGAGGGCAGAGACTGAGGAAAGAGATGTGTGAGAGAGAGACGGCAGGGAACAGTGAATTAATTAAAGGAGTTCTGAGCGAGGGGAGTGAGCACTTGAAGAATGAAGTCAGAGGATGGTGAGATCAGAACTATACAGACAGAAGGGGATAAGATAATGGGAAGTAGGTAGTGATTAGGCAAGAAAGGATGGAAGTGAGTGAAGTGGCCAGGACAAGGAAAAGATGAGACTGAGCAGAAAAAGCAGCTGTGCTTGGTAGGGTGAGCACTGTGTTACAAAGCCAGAAGGAAGCTCAAGATTGTCCTGTGACTTACTGATTCCTTTCAAAATGTCTCCTCCTGCATAACACCTCTGCTCAGAGACTGGTAATTAGTGCTTTCAGAACACTCTACCCTCTCATAAACTGAAGGTCTGGAGACCTAAAGGATCTAAACTAGTGATGCAGCATGGTGTCTTGCTATAAAATGTTGCAGGAAAACTGATTTTCTCTTTTAATAATCTGAGATGTCATCTATGTTAGTGAACATTATTAATTTTGTAAATCCAGTGCTTAGGAATTGAGGCAAAAGACATGATCTTAGTTTGTCCTATGTACCCATACTGCATTTTCTTCTTGCAATAGCTCCACAAAACTCATGCTTTGTGTCCTTTATTCAAAGAATGAATCAGAAACTTATGGGGAATTATGCTGCTTTGTGACCCTATCTTCATTTGTTGAAATTAATTAATTAAGATAAAATGTGAATGGCCATTTGATTAAAGCAACCAAACTCTGCTCTGGAAAACTGATTTCTATTCCTGCCTCTTGACTCAGACAGCAATGCTCTAAATGCTTATAAATGGATAATAATTATATGGCAGATTTTCTAGGGGTTTTGCCTTGATCATCCTGATGTGGCAGCGTTCACCGCATGGCTGCCACTGACATCTATAAAAGTTGTTCTTTAAGTAGTCTTTGAAGTTGATTCTGAAAGTAGAAACCTAAAATTAGCAGAAACACTTGCCATACATATATTAATGTCTCAGCTTCCCGTCTGAGCAATAATATCGTATTCTAAACTGTAATCCAAACAATTTGTGAAGACTTAAAAATGGGAAGTCTAATTATTGTAGCTGTGTGACTGAACTAATTAGGAATTTAATATTGTAGCTTGTAAGTTGTTAGACTGTAGACTAAGCAGTAAGATGTCGGTAATTCACCAGAAGACTAATTAAAGCGTAGATCACATGCCTTTAGTGTGTTATATGAAGGTGTGTTTGCAGAAATGTATGACATTTAAAGATCTTGAGTTTGAATTCACAATTTGAACATGTGTTGCTAATAACTGATGTTGCACATAAAGTAGCTTTGTATATGCAAAGAAGCAATGCACCATATTATGTTCAATACCTTCTGTGTCTCAACGCTCGTGAGGGAACCAGCATGCAGTTGACTTGTGTGACAGTACACAAGTACACAAGACACATGTACCAGGAAGAAAGAAAGACAGAGGGGAAAACAGGGTTTTGGATAAGTCTCTGGAGCCATCAGCTGTGGCCCAGTGGGGAGATCCAGGCCTGGGAGGACAAGATGACCTCATGTCAGGGGAAGAGGAAGAGCCCAGGCGTAGTTTCTCTGATCCTATAGGACTTGCACAAATGAAATCTCTCAGCAGAGTTTATCCAGAAAGGATGTTAAATCACTCAGTCCCATATAACATAGGTCACTGTGTTCCACTCATGCGCTCTGTATTAATCCTGAGGCTTTATTTGGTCAAAATGTTTATTCTCAGTCAAGTAATTTTTATTTCCAGGGAAGAGCAAGTGTCACTACATTACTAGGAATGGCAATGGCTGTACAGCAACTGAGACCTAAAGAGGCGCACAGGTCTGTCCAAGTAGGCAACCGTTGCCTCTTTCTCCTCTGCTCTGCAGAAAAAATAAAAGCACTGGCTTGACCTGGGAGAGGAGACTTTTCCCCATCACAGATCTGATTGTTAATATTGTGCTCAGTGTAGGGGAAAAAAGCATAGTGCTTGGAAGGGGGTTGGTCATAGTATTTTTTAACTTAGAAATTTTTTTCTATTTTTATTTTTTCAGTTTCAATTAAAAAAAAA